TAACATAAAAAAAAAACACAACAGGTTTTTTGAGAGCAAAACTACATGGACAGTGGCCCCAGCATGGAGGAACCACCATCCATAGCTATGTACCACTGCAGCCCAAGGAGCAGTTCAGAAGCAGGCCATCAACTTCACAATGGTAGACTATGTTAGTAGTAGGGACAGCTCACCTACTGACTAGTGACAGAGCTCCACGGTCTTTGACAACTCTTCTGCCAATATTTTGGCAAATGCAAATCTCATAAATCCGGATTTATGATACAGTTAGACAGGAAGATTGTAACAGATATAGCTCCAGCTCCTATTTACAAACAATTACAGTCCCAATTTTCTTGTCCCTTGTGAATCTTGCATCATTTGAAAATGTCTAGGTAGGCTGGGCATGGTGGCACATGCCTTTAATCCCAGAACTCAGGAGGCAGAGGCAGGTGAACCTCTGAGTTTGAGGCTAGACTGATCTACAGAGTAAGGTCCAAGACAGCCAAGGCTAGAGAGAAAACCAGTCTCAGAAAAGAAGGGAAAATGAGAAGAAAAGAAAAAAAGAAAAAAAGAAAGAGAAAATGTCCATGCAAAGTATCTGGAAGTGCCAGAACCACTTTCCCAACAGTTCTATCACTAGAATTGAAGCTTGGACCTAGAGCGAGAAAGACACAAGAAACTCAGGAAGAACCTGACTCCTGTCACCTAATCTAATCAGATATGGAGAAGATGACAAGTGCTGTAAAATATTTGGAGCATTCTACTCTCACACAGCAAAGCCTCAAAAGTGTTTGATCAAGCCTGGAATTCAGAGATATGTATGTCTCTGCCTCCTGAGCAGTGGGATTAAAGTTGTGAGCCACAAGCCATCTTTCCTTAAGCGTTTTTTGTTGTTTTTTTTTTTTGTTTTTTGAGACACAGTTTCTCTGTGTAACAGCCCTAGTTATCCTGGAACTAGCTATGTAGAGTAGGCTGGCCTCAAACTCACAGAGATCTGCCTGCCTTTGTCTCCTAAGTGCTGGCATTAAAGGTGTATGCTACCAACACCCAGCAAATTTTGTTTATTTTGAAGTAGACAGTGAATTCATATAGTTCAAAAGATGCTAAGAAGCTGGGCAGTGGTGAAGCACACCTTTAATCACAGCACTCGGGAGGTAGAAGCAGATGGATCTCTGAGTTCTAGGCCAACCTGGTCTATGGACAGCCTGGTTTTCCAGGCTACACAGAGAAACCCTGGTTCAAAAAACAAAAATAAAATAAAATAAATCTCCAAAAGTAAAATAAAAATATTGCTTAATACAATTTCATGACTACCCAAGGTTTATTAAAATTTGAAATTTTCATTTATTTTAGTTAAAAATTTTTTAACACTTATTTATTGGTGGAGTGATACATGTATACCACAGCATGCATGAAGAAGCCAGAAGACAACTTGAGGGAATCAGTTCTCTCCCATGGCCTACAGGGACTGAACTCAGGTTGGTAGGCCAGATGGCAAGTACCTCCACCTGCAGAGCCATCTGCTCAGCCCCAAGAAGATGCCATTCTCCAAGTGTTATAGTCAAATTATTATTAGATATGTTAGTCTATGAGGCTACAGCCATGGTTCATCCATTAAGAACACTTGTTGCTCTTTCAGAGAACCAGGGTTCAGTTCCCAGCACCTCCATGGTGGCTCACAACCATCTGTAACTCCAGTTCCAAGGGATCCGACACCCTCTTCTGACCTCTGTGGGCATTACACACACAGGGTACACCTATGTACTCAGACATAAAATAAGTATATGTAAGAAAAATAAAACTTCAGCCAGGAGGTGGTGGCTCATGGCCTTTAATTCCAGCACTTTGGAGGCAGAGACAAATGGATCTCTGTATATGCGAGGCCTGCCTGGTCTACAGAGCTAGTTCCAGGACAGCCAGGGCTACACAGAGAAACTCTGTCTCGAAAAACAAAAATAAATAAATAAAATTTCAAAAGGATATTTAAATTAAAAACAATAACAACAACAAAACAGTCTAGTCAGCAGGACATTTTGGTGCTTGCCTTTAATCCTAGCACTCAGGAGGCAGAGGCAGGCATATCTTTCTGAGTTTAAAGCCAAACCAATCTGCATAGCCAGTTGCAAGACAACTAGGGCTACTAGTAAGACCCCATATCAAAAAGCAAAATGAAACAAAGAAAAATCTATTCAAGTCAAAATTATTGAGGGTCTTGGAAAAAGGGCCACAGAACAATGAGGGAGGTGAATAAGAAAATATACTTTACTAATAGTAGAATTTGCTTTTAAATTCTCAAGCAAGTCAAATATTCTAACAGTTCCTTTACATTTACATTATATTATATGTATTCCTGGTGTTTTGCTTATGGGAAATATCAAAATGTCAACCATTGTTTCTATTAAAGGTCTTTAATGATACTGCATTTTAGACCTGTAATGAAACATGGTGCTTGCTGCAGTTTGTAATGCATCTCATTAAACACATTAATAACATGCATTTAACTAAAAGGTCAGCTTACTTTGGTTAAAGTTTAGCTTTCCTATAATCACTTCATTTAAAGCTGTACAGCAAACTCTGGGAAGACAACAGAGTACCTGTTATAAAAATGCTCTCAATTCTCCCATCTGTCCAAGTCAGCCATTCTTGTTAAAAATTAAATGCCCAGCTATGGTAAAGCTCAGTGGCAGAACACTTGCTAGCATGCACAAGGTCCTGGGTTCATTTCCTAGCACTGTTAACAAACTTGTCAATATTTTTAAGTGGAATAATGGCTACAATATTGGTTTTTTGAGACAGTATATCACTATATAGGCCTAACTGTCCTGGAACTTGCTGTGTAGACCAGGCTGACCTGGAACTTGGAGATCCACTGAGATTAAAGGTGGGGGCCTCATGCAACTACTAATAAGATTTTAGGGCTGGAGAAACAATTCAGTGGTTAAGTGCACATGATACTTTAGCAGATGGAATATGTTTGATTCCCAGCACCCACATGGTGGCTCACAACCTAATTCAACTCCAGTTCCAATAGATCTAATGCCTTCCTCCTGCCTCAAAGGCAACAAGTATGCATGTGGTACATATAAATACATGCAGGCAAAACTCTCACACAGAAAATGAATAAATCTTTTTTTTGAAAAAATTTAAATCCTTATCTTTTATGCATGCACACTAAAAGATTTATTGAAAAATAAAAGGACATACATTATTTACTTCATAGTAGTCCAGAAGAAATAAGTTGTCAATATAAAGATAGATGTAGTAAGACTGGCATGAATTCCAGGCAGGCGGTGGTGGTGCACACGTTTAATCCCAGCTAGTGATATAAAATGGGGGCTCACTGTGTTCACCTTCCTACTTTAATATAGGCTATGTACATAATGTAGTTTGTAAATTCATCTGGCATGTTCTTAAATAATCTGCCTTCTTCCTTGCACATCATTATCACCAACATAAAAGGCCTAATTCCTGATGTTGTAAGACTTGTTAAATGAAAGTCAGAGGGAGAAAGCTAACATCTTTGGAGAAGTAGCTTTCTGTTAAAAAAAAAAAAATCCCTTAATTTTGTTAAGGTTATTCTATGCTTAATCTTAATCTACACAGACATTAGAAGTCATTTCATGGTTCAAGAGATATAATTGCCAACATGCAACAGTAAAACACCTGGAGACTAAGTGCAGGTACTAGAAAAGTCAAGGAAATATTACATTTCTGAAAGGTAGATTTAAAGTACAGAACATACAAAGACTTGGTTCTCAGGGGTCTACAGTGCTAGAATATAGTTACAAGTCTATTATTTAGGGCTGGAGAGATGGCTCAGAAGTTAAGAGCACAGACTATTCTTCCAGAGTCCTGAGTTGGATTCCCAGCAACCATCTATAATGAGATCTGGTGCCCTCTTCTTGCCTGCAGTCATATGTAGGTTGAACATTGTATACATAGCAAATAAATAAATCCTTAAAAAAAGCTACCAGAAAGAAAGTAAACCATGGTACAAGAAGACATACTGAACATTCACAACCCACAACCTAAGGACAGAATCCTGTATTCACTGTTTACATTGGTAGAGAGAAAGAGCTGGAGAGATGTCTCAAAGGTAAAGTGTGCTTATCACTCCTGCAGGACTGGAGTTCAGTTCCCAGCATCACAACTGCTTCTAACTATAGCCAGGAGATCTGATGCCCTCCTCTTCTGGTCTCTAGAGGTACCTGCACTCATGTGCACAAATGCACATATATATATAATTTTAAAAATTAAAAATCATATATATAAAGAGCTTGTGAAGAGATCAGCAAGGTAGGCAGTGTATTTGGTGTTACCAAAGCCCAAGGCCCAAGAAAAATACTACAAAATTGGACCAGTGAGATGGCTTAGCAGGTAAAAGTACTTGTATTGCAAGTCTGATAACCTGAAGTCACATAAGTACAGAAGGAGGTAAGTTACTGAACAAAGTTCTCTGACCTCCACATATGGGCTGTGCAATGTGTGCACTTGTGATTGCTTGCTCAATCTTTCATGTTCTCATTCTCTCTCTCTCTCTCTCTCTCTCTCTCTCTCTCTCTCTTTCTCTTATACATACAAATAATAAATATTTTATTTATTTATTTAAAATAAATATTTTATTTATTTATTTAACACTCACATACAAATAATAAATATTTTAAAAAAACCTTCATTGAATGCCTCTGAAAGGCAATAAGGAAATCACTAGAAACCTACCTTTCCATAGCAGTCTAAAAGGACAAGGTTTATAAGTATTATACTAGACTATAACACTAGACACTAGTTAGTTTAAACTACATAGGGATTCTGAATACTTGTAAGAAGATTATAAAAATACTGCAGACAGTGGGGATGGTAGCTAATCAACTGCTGAGATGGTCTGTTAACCTAGGCCGAGTCTTAAGAGTACTCAGTATAGCACACAAGCTTGTACTCCAATAACTTGGGAAATGCAGGCAGGACATTTTTTTTACATCCAACTCAGTATACCCCCAAAACGATATGAGTAGTCTTACTATTTTTTAGAGCAATGGCAAATTCTGGGCCACCTTTGTCCTTGAAGACCGGAAAGACATTTGGTTGAGGCAACTGATTGGTAGTCAACAGAGCTTTCTGTAGTTTGATCCTTCCTTCCAAGAGCTGGTCCCACAACGCTGAAGAAAAAAGTGAAAGAGAAGCCATCTCTTAGTCAGGAATTCTTTCTGGGGACTAAGAAGGAAGAGGAAGAAGCACCAATCTCTAAGCAGAAGGCATTATGATATTCATGCCATAGAAGCATTCTCCATTCTAGAAAATAAACTCTCCCTCGCTTGATGGAAATACTTGCTGTGAGAGAGGAAACCCTAATACATGACAAAAAGAGAGAACATGCTCCTCTTCAATCTTCCCCAAGGTTAGAGCAGAGCCTGCTAAGCAGCAAAACAAGAACTAGGGTGCAGGCTTCTGGGTAAAGTGAGGTATGTACAGACTAATTAGAAGGGGTACTGGAGAAACAGAACAACCAAAATCAAAAAGCAGATTAACGTAGAAACTCTTAAAAAAAAAAAAAACTAGCAAAAGCACACACACACACATACACACCTATCTGATTCTTCACAGCTCTTCCTTTCTCAACTTCCTCAGAAACTTTGACACTGGAGAAGGTCATCACCACACCGTCATCTTCACTGTTCCTGTCTCCTTCCCTGTCTTCTTCACTCTCACCTTCTAAGTTTTCCTCAACATCTCCTTCTTCCATGCCACTCTCTTCCTCTTCCTCCACCTCACTGCTCCCAAGGTCATCCATTCCTTCTGTAAATTTCTCAAAATCACTAATGCCCTGGAAACTGAAGCCTGGCATTTCTGCAGAACGCCCTCTGCCCTTCTTCTGAGCCAGACTGATCTTCAAATCATTGTCAGCATCCTCTTCCTCAGTAGCACTTAGCTCCTCCTCCTCCTCTTCCTCTTCCTCCTCAGATTCTTCCAGGCCCAGGCCCTCTGAATCCCCATCTCCAGATTCTTCTTCATCAGATATTTCTTTGTCTAAATCATAAGGAAAAAAAGGGGGGACGGGGTTTACATATAGAAAAATACCAGGGCCACATCTTTCATTTCAATTAATGAACTGTAGCATCTACTATGAAAGCAAACACGTTATTGTGCTCTATTCAACCAAACAAACATTTACTATATATGTACTATTTCGAAAATGCTAAGGGGAAACAAAGACAAAGAGAACATGAGTTCAATCTAAAAAAATACAGTGAAGACACAGACACAAAAGGTATGATTACAGGAAAAAATAAAAAGTGCTTTGAAAAAACTTCATGCCAGCCATGGTGGCTCATGACTATAATCTCAGTACCCAGTACTGTATGGTCTACATACCAAGTTTGAGACTAACCAGAATGACATGATAAGTCTCTGTCCTAATTTTTTTTTAAGATTTTATTTATTTATTATGTATACAGTGTTCTACCTGCATGTATGCCAGGACACCAGATCTCATTATAGATGGTTGTGAACCACCATGTGGTTGCTGGGAATTGAACTCAGGACCTCTGTTAGAGCAACCAGTGCTCTTAATCTCTGAGCCATCTCTCCAGCCCCTCTGTCCTAATTTTTTTGTTTGCTTGTTTTTGATTTTTGAGACAGGGTCTTACTGTGGCTGGAACTTGCTAGGAAGACCAGACTGGTCTTGAACTCAGACTCACGTGCCTCTGCCTCCCAAGTGCTGAAATAAAAAGCATGTGACCCCAGACCATTCAAGACACTGCCTCAAGGGAAAATAAATAAAACACACAAATTTAAAAAGCCTCAGATAAGCTGTCAAAATTAAAAATACAGAAGTTAAGTGAAAAACCAGTAGAACCCTTAAATTTAATCATTTCTCAAATTAAGAAATTTCCATACAACACAGCATAGACCTGCTTTCATGTGAATTCTGGCTCTTCTACTTAGCAGCTCTATCACTTTTACTTAACCAATTAGTCCTTTACTTTTCTATTTGTAAAATGAGAATAAATAATATCAACTTCTCGGGCTACTGGAAAGAGTCAAATGATAATGATGTACTATTTTTATTTTTTTAAAGATTTACTTACATCTGAGAGTTTTACCTCCATGTACCTATGTGCACCTCTAGTGCCTACAGAGGAACTGGAGTCATGGATGGTTGTGAGTCTCCATGTGGGTGCTGGGAATCTAACCTGGGTCCCGAAAGAACAAGTGCTCTTAATCACTGGACTATTATCTCCAGACCTTATGGTAATATTTTGGTGGCTCTTTGTCCCAGGCTCTCAGAACTTAAAGAGCTAACTACAGTGGCTGACACGTGGTGAAAACTCAGTCTCAACATGACCTTCCTAAAAGAAAATATATGGCATCCTCTCAATATCCATATTTGGAGACTTCTTCCATTTTGAGAAACTTACTACTGCTTAAAACTATAAGCTCACATCCTAATTCTTTCTCAGGAAAGACAGAAGAATTATTACTTTTTACAATGACAAAAGGTCAGTTTCATAACTAATACACAGAGAATCAATATAAGACCTGAAAAACAAAAAGGGTCGGGGCTGGAGAGATGGCTCAGTGGTTAAGAGCACTGGCTGCTCTTCCAGAGGTCCTGAGTTCAATTCCCAGCAACCACATGGTGGCTCACAACCATCTGTAATGATGTCTGGTGCCCTATTCTGGCCTGCAGGCATACAAGCAGACAGAATACTGTATACATAATAAATAAATAAATAGATATTTTTTTTAAAAAAAGGGTCAAAATATAAAGGCAACACATACATCTGACTTTTTCTTTTTGGTTTTTCAAGACAGGGTTTCTCTGTAGCTTTGGAGCCTGTCCTGGAACTAGCTCTTGTAGACCAGGCTGGCCTCAAACTCACAAAGATCAGCCTGTCTCTGCCTCCTGAGTGCTGGAATTAAAGGTGTGCAACACCACCACCTGCCTTTTAACACATAGCCCTGCCAATACCTAGGATGCCTTGCCCGTTTTTTCACTCATTTTAGGGTGAGCCATTAATCTGAACTTGGTAACTCTTTTGGGTTTTAGGTTTCATTTTTGTTTGTTCTTCTGAGACAGGGTCTCAGGTGTGGCATATGCTAGTACAGAACTATGTAGTCAGCCTTGAACTCCGATCCTCCTGCCTCAGTCTTCCCTAGTTCTGAAATAACAGGAGCATGCCTCACTGGGCTTTAGGATTCTCTTAAAGTGAAATAGTGACTTCGAAGGCCCTTTCTAGTACCAAATCAATGGTCTCTCCTAAAATGAGTAGAGACACACTGACTTACAGAAGGCATCCATAAACGCAACAGCAAGAGAAGAGTTTCGGGTTATGTCTACTCACCAGAGGACCCTGGCAGAGTCTGCTCCCAATGGTCTTCTTTCCAAGCTTTCCTAGAAGTGGTCTTGCCAGAATACCTTTTGTCTGTGTCCAAGAGGGAGGATGGTGCCAGTTTTCTAATGCTACTCACTGCCAGATCACCTTCCTCCTCTTCCCCTTCATCAAACCTGTCAATCACTCTGGCTCTAGTGGCTGTGGGGAGGGAGGAAAATAGAATCTGAGGTTAAAAAAAATCTTTAATAGGAACTCAACTAAACAATTTCAATTCCACATGCCACCTTTCTGTGCTAGGTGAGTACTCTTACCAACTGGGCTATATCCCCAGCTCTCAATTCATTAAATGTCCTCTATACGATTTCCACTAACTTACAGGAACAGGGAATTTATTTCTGGTCGCTAGAGAAACGACTATCATATTGATGTCTGTTTCTGAATAGAAAGCTATCTCCCTGTATCTACTAGTAAATTGTTCCTACGCCTTGACTCTATAAATCTAGTCTGATTCCTCCTTTTCCATAGTGTTTTTATTTGTTTTTCTTTTTTGGAGGTTCTGAAAATAAAATTCAGGGCCCCAAGTATGTCAGCCACATGCCCACGGAACTTAATTCTTCCTCAGCATGTGAGAGTCACTCCAATATCAATCAGTCAACAAGTTTATAGTCACTCTGTCCCACCCCTCCAGTTGTCCTCACTGACCCTGGCTTAAACAAACCTGTCTCCTCACCTGCTATTCCTACACCACGAGTCCTAACCTCTTCTACTATACCTTCCTCACAACTCTCTGACTCAAGCCTAAAGCACAACTACTCTCAGCTAGTCTCAGAAGAGGCTTAAGGAGACTCAGTCTGTCATCAGAACGTGGGCAAATGTCTTAAGACCTTAAACAGCACCAGAGAATCCTACTTTTTTCCTTTTCGAAGTAAGTTTTTAGAGGCGGTCAACTTTAAACACACAAACCCCTGAAACTCATCATACTTCCTTCTCCTTTCTAAGGTAATACCAGAAAAGGGCTTCCTAAATAACTGCCAGTCGGCAGCCAGTAGCTCCCTGCAGCTACCCCCAGCCAGAGTTCGTGTGCCCGCCCCGCCTTCCCCCCACCCCCGAAGTCTGGACTGCAGGTGTCACCCTCCACCCCTCCAGGGGTCAACCCTCCCGAGACACAATTTGCCTCAGCGCAACGGGAAAGAGAGCAGGCCCGAGGGCTAGCGGCCCGCACCAGCCCACAGCTCCGCACGTGGCCGGCCCCCAGTCAGGCCTCACCCTCCTCCGGGTCGGCCTCAGGATCCGCCTCACGCGGTTTCGGATTCAACAACTGTTCCAGCTGCAGGGCCAAGGGCTGTGACCCCGCCATGGTCACCAGGTCACAGTCGGCGCTGCGCTCGTGAACGTGCAGCCCCGTGCCCCAGCCCGACGTTCCGGCCTGGGTGCTCCCGCCCGACACCACTCCACACCACAAGCAGAAACCTTCGGGGCCGGAGCTCAGCTCCCGGATAGGCAACTTCCGGGAGGCGCGCGCCGGAGGGGCGGGGCTTCGCGTCACCACAGGCGTTGCTAGGCAGGAGACGCAGGCCTGAGAAACCTGGAAGAGAGCGCAGCCGGCCGAACGCGCGTGCGCCGGAGACCAGGGCCGCTCGGCGCGAGGCGCGGGAGCGCGCAGGGGCACGTGACCGCCTCTAGCGAGGCACGTTGATGGCGTTTTTGAGCTTCCAGGGTCCCCTAAGCACAAAATAATGCCTCAAGCTTTGTGCGAGGTTGGTTTAGGAATGAAGCGCGTTAAGTACTCGTGGCTCATGATGGCTGGCTGATTTGTGAAAGGAGTAAAGGATAAGCCTCTGGAACCTCAGGTACTCGAGCAAGCACAGACAGGGATTCCAAACAGGGTTTTTCACAGTGTGGAGGAACCCGGGCACACATCTTCCAACTCTCAGCAGCCAGGATCTGAGAGGCCTGCGTGTGTAAATGTGCGGCCAAGTGCGATCTTTATCTTTATTTAGGAATAATTAGGAATCGCGGTGGTTGTACCACAAATCAAGATCGTTTCAGTAGCATCTTGTACCCCGTTTCCTGGGCAGGCAAAAGGGGGCAAGCGGTTAGAATTACTCTCCTACACGTTCCTTATAATATTAATAGCTTTACTGTACTAAGATGGAGTGACTCCGCCCCCGGAAACTGCTGAACAAATGCAGATGAGAAACCCTTCACTTGGTTCTAACATTAGATGGTTAGACTCAAAACATAAAGACCTTAATGAGATAAATTTAATTGCACACAGACACATGAAGATACGCAATCACTTTACATTCTCTTCCCTTCATAGGGTGTTCCTTGACTGCCCACTGCGTGGCAGGCACTGCTAGATGAAATACAGGATGAGTAAGTTAGAGCCTCCACACAGTGACCAGCCTTCTGGGCAGTAAACAAGAACTGCAATGAGGAATGACAAATTTGAGCATAAAGCGGATATGTTGGAGGTCTTCATCTTCCGTGAAGACTTAAGATCTTCTGTAAACAGAAAAGCTGCCATTCAATAAAAAGGCATGAGTAGGCCTGGTGGCGCCTTTAATCCCAGCACTCAGGAAGAGAAGCGGAGGCAGGCAGATCTCTGAGTTTGAGGCCAACCTGATCTATAGAGCAAGTTCCAGGACAGCTCCAGGACTACACAGAGAAACCCTGTCTCAAAAAAAAAAAAAAAGCCATTAGTAATACATAATGCACAGTAATACACTGTGACTGTACCTCGTTCTTATTTGTCCATGGAGACAGAGTCTCTAGCCCAAGTCGGCCTCCAACACGCTAAGTAGCTGAAGATGACCTTGAATTCCTTAGTCAAGGGGGATTATAGGCCTGTGCCATTACACCCTGTCTATTCAGTGCTAGGGACTGAACCCAGAGTTTTGTGCATGCTAAGTAGGAACTCTTCCAGTTCTAGATCCCCAGCCCAGTACCACTTCTTAAGTATGCTCCAGGCCAATTGGATCACAGAGCAGATCAATGTTAGGTATGTATCTGGTAGCTCCCCAGTGGAACCCACAGGAAGACAGTCCCTGACTCCGAGTCTTCAGAGACCCTCAGATTCAGGCTAGAAGAGATTACTCCTTTAGTGTAGCTTCTCCCATGCCTCTGTCCTAAGTGACTCTTGAGTGAGGAAGACCAGGGCTACAAAAGAGAAACAGAGACTGTCTTAAAGTCTTTCAGACAGGAAGGGCAAAGAATGTCAGACCAGACAAAGACCTAGGCAAAGAAAATCTTTGTATTACTGAGTAGTTAGAAGACTTGTTTTTAAGGGTGCCCTCTGTGATTTCTAGCATGTGCCTATATCAGAGCCTCCATAGCAAAAATGTGCTCCTCTGTCCTCTATAAGTTGCCACTGCCTTGGGCATAAGGAACAAAAGTGTTCTCCCATCCCACGTTTAGTAAATTACATCCCCAGATCCTCTTCCCTTGCTATTTCAGGCATTAAGAACCATCCCTTAAAGGTAAGGAGGGAAGAGTTAGGCGGAAAGGGAAGCAGGACAGAGACCAGCTTGAAACTGGTATGCATACAGGACACTGCTGGCCTATTTTGTGGCCTGTTGAACTGAGCAAACAGGATCATAAGGTGCCATAAACCTTTTACCAGCTCTCCCTCTCCTGTCTTGGTTGTCCCTGACTTGGGGCACATTTTTAGGAAGGAGTTAAGAGCTCTTTACTCTTGCCGCACATACCCTAGGCTCCACAGAATTGCTTCCCCTGCTTTCCTACCCCAGGAATCTTCTTCCTGGAGAAGAGTGAAGGAGAAAGAATGGTAGAGCTTAAGGTGCAGCTAAGTGAAGTTGAGGCATAGGGCAAGGGAAAGACCCCTCAAATGTTCTGGGGCCCCTTCCCCAGTTGCATTCTGGTTTCTTGAGAGGTGGCTGAAGGGCTTCAGACTAGGGTAGAGTGGGATTGGAGATGGAGGGTGGGCCATGGGAGGGACCAGTAAAGGGCAGTATAGCTTCCTAAAGAAATGTCAACCTTTAAGTTTTCTATGATGCAGAACAGATGTACTGAGCCGAGAGAGGAGCATAAAGGTGTGCAATCTCTCCTCTGGAGAAAAGACAGAGGGGTTTAGGATTCACCTCCCTCTGGCTGGGCTGCAAAGTGGCAAGAATAGCCACCCATAGGCAGAGGTAACTAAATTGGACATCGCTCAGATGGTCAAAACCCGCCAGTTTCAAGTTTCCAGAAACCAGATTCTGATCTATCTGTTTTCCTAAACAACATCAGCCTTGGGTCCCAGACCCCTGACAGGGCCTGTCCCGGTTCTCCACTAATTCACCTGCCTTCTTGCCTGCCCTTGCATCAGGAGACAGTAGGGGAGCTTTAAGTTCCTCCTCAGCTTAGATGGCAGCCCCCTGAGACTGGAACCCTAATTACAGGTGCCTGGAAGCACAGAAGTGGGGGCTTTAAGCTGGCGTGGGGGAAGAAAAGTGCTTGCCAGATTTAGTTGTGAGGAGGCTTCTCTCTCAGATGGGAAGGGGCAATAGGGGACCAAAGGGCATTTCCCTCCTTCCTGGCAGTCTCTCCAGGAATGGTTCCCTCTGCCCTTGGGCCAGAGGTGGGCAGCAGTTGTGAATGCAACCCAGCCACTACCATTTCTCTTCCTCCCCCAGCCCTCGGTTCCAGATTAGACGGCTGAGTATTACCACCTGTTTCTGTCTTCGCTGGGTTTCACAAAGACCCGCCAAGGGAAAAGACCGTGCCACTGGCACCGAGTTACAAGAACTGAATCTATGCCGCCTGCCCAACTCTTAAAGCATTTCTTATCAAATACTCCGATAGCACAATAAAGCTGCTAAATAATTTAGTGCCCTTGATAGGAAAATGCCACTTCCTGAGGAGCAGACGTTCAGTTAAATGAATAGTTTTAAGGGGGAGGGTTCCAGGGTGGTGGCGATAATGAATGTTAGCTGCGACTTCATGCATATAAATGCTAAACGGGGAAAACACGCAGACCCAGTGACTGCATATGAAGAAAGAAAATGTGCTGTATGCAGCAGCTAGAAGTTTCCAAAGTCTCCCTTGTATTTCATAAATTTTTATTTCTGAAAAAAGACAGCCAGATCCCTCCCTGATAGTCATTAGTTAGATAAGCCATCGAAGGGGTGCAATGAAATATTGCTTACTCTAAAGCCTTCTCTGCAGGAATGATAAACTTGGTTCTGTTTTACAAAATAAGGAAACGGTACTGGAAATTGCATACAATTTAATGTAATAATGATTTTAAAAAAATAAGATATGATCCAGACTGAAATCTAGGCAATATGGTAAAGAACCCCTGGAACCCTGATATTAAAACTCTCATACACCTACACATTAGTATCTCATAAGAGAAACATTGACATTTCTTCCATTTCTTTGGAGGTTTGGATGGGATTGAACGATTCTCAAAACCCGCTATCTATTGGCAAACTTAACTCCCAGTTGCAATTTGATTTCTATATTAGTTATTTTTGTTCATCTTCTGCAGAAACTTAATATGTATCCTATGCCAGACAAAGTAGTTTTCCTTTTGGAAAACTTCAAATGTAGTAAATACCATCCAATAACAATTTCATATCAGTTCTATGAAAGGGATTAAAGTATTTCATTTCGAGTTATACTTTATATTCATGTTAGGTTATCTTTCAACTCACCAAATTAGAAAGCAGGATTATCTATGGAAAATGAATTGAAGCTGAAAAAGACCAGGTCTAACTATCTATTTACAAGTATGTGACATTCCCAAGCCTGGCTTTGCAAGTGCAGAGAGGAGAAGGAGTGCAGGCTCTCGCACCTAACCACAGATCGGCATCATTCGCTTTCTTTTAGCTGTGGATTTGATTTCTATTTCCAATTCTATATTAACTTATCAGCAAATCTCTTTAACTGTATCAGTTAGACTCACAGTATGCAAATCTGTATTTAATAACAGTGAGAGGCAAAGAAGAGAGCTTGGTGAAGGGTTTCAGCCAGAGCCAAGGTGAAAGCATCACCCCAGTCTTTTCTCCCTCCCTACTGACTTCTGAAGGTCCACTCAGCACGCTATTGGGACTTCCCTCCAATCGCTGAAAACATGGGATACCACACCAATTGTCTAAACATCAGGTTTTCTATTTTTATTAAAAACTCACAAATTTATTCAACATGTTTTCTTTCATACAGTGAATGGTCTAATATGCACTGGAGGTCACACAAGCTTAAGTTTATAGAACAATAAAAGACATATGAGAAATTTAATATATAAAGGAACAAGTAGCAGCTGCTGACTGCATATTTGACCATAAAATTTAAATATTTTGGACTTTTATTTTAAAGACACAAAAATAAAACCTGTGTGGGTCTATATAAGTCATATTAACAATTTCATGAATGTTCAACAGGACTAAAAATTAGCAAAGATGTTTTTTTTAAACCTTGTAACACTTTTTTTTTTTAACACTTTCTCAAGTTGCTGGTGCCAGGCACCATTACAGTATTTGTGCTATAATTTATTCTAT